TTTTTTTTTGAGATGGAGTCTTGCTCATCGCCCAGGCTGAAGTGCAGTGGCATGATCTCGGCTCACTGCAAGCTCCGCCTCCCGGGTTCGTGCCATTCTCCTGTCTCAACCTCCCAAGTAGCTGGGACTACAGGCGCCTGCCACCACGCCCAGCTAATTTTTGTATTTTTAGCAGAGATGGGGTTTCACCGTGTTAACCAGGATGGTCTCGATCTCCTGACCTCGTGATCCGCCTGCCTCGGCCTCCCAAAGTGCTGGGATTATAGGCGTGAGCCACTGCGCCCGGCCAAACGAACCCCACGTCTAACTCTTTTTGTCAGTAGCCTTACAATATCCAGGCAAAACACTGTCACTTAGGTCAGCACCTTTCTTCCTCACGCCCTTCAATGTGCTTCATCTGGAACAAAGTTTGTTTTACTTTTCACAGCCTGCGATTTATCTTGGGATCCATCTGTGATCCCATATCCTGGTTGATTTTTTTTTCAATTGACATGGAGCACAATTTATTCTTTGTTGTGTCCAGTTCTGTGTGTTTTTACAGCTGTGCAGTCATGTGTCCATCACCACAGCACCAAATAGAACAGTTCTTCATCCCCAGTTCCCCTGTGCTGCCCCTTTGTAGTCACCTCTGACCCCTAGCTGCCTTTGATGTTTTCTGTCCCTATAGTTTTATCTTTACCCACAGATGTCATATAAATGGAATTATACAACATATAATCTTTTGAAATTGGCTTTTTCCTTTTAGCGTAATGCATTTGAAATTCATCCACATTGTTGTTTGTCTGAATAGTTTGTTCTTTTTTGTGGATGAGTTACATTCCATTGTATGAGTGTACCACAGTTTATCTGTTCACCTGTTGAAAGGCATCCAGGTTGTTTCTGATTTTAGGTGATTATGAGGTCATACATATTTTCTCCTGTGTTTTCTTCTAGAAATTTCTTCTTTGAATGTTCTTTCTACCTTTGACAAAAATGGATTGACTATATGTTTGTGTGTGTTTCTTGCAGGCTGTCTATTCTATTGTATTAATCTATACATCCACACTGTATTGCCTGTTGCTTTATAGTTAAGTCTTGAATTCAGCTAGTGTGAGTACTACAATTTTGTTCTTTTTAAACTTGTTTTGGTTGTTTTAGTTCCTTTGCCTTTTCTTAATTTTTTAAAAATAGGCTTATCAGTATCTACAAAAAATTTTTCTGTGTTTTTTGTTTGGATTATGTTGTTTATATAGATCAAATTGGAGAGAAAAATTCCTATAATCCATGAATATGATGTCTCTCTCCTTTTATCTTCTTTGATATCTTTTGTGTTTCATTGTTATCTAGCACAGATTTTATTAGATTTAGCTCTAATATTTTCCTTTTCTTTTTCTTGATGCTATTATAAACAGCATTACTTTTTAAAATTCAAATTCCAGTTGCTTATTGCTGTTATGTAGGAATACAGTTGATAGTGTATATTGACTTTATATTCTGTTATCTTGTGAAACTTACCTACTAGTTATAGGAGCTTTTTTGTAGACTCTTTGGAACTTTCTATATAGACAGCTGTATCATCTGTGAATAGTTTTACTTCTTCCTTTCTAATATGTATTCCATTTATTCCTGTTTCTTAACTTTTTGTACTGGCTGGTACTTCTAATATGACATTGGTAAAATGACATCCTTGCCTTATTCATGATCTTATGAAGAAAGCATTTAGTCTTTCACCATTAAGCATGATCTTAGCTAAAAGTTTTAAAAATAAATACCCTTTATCAGATGGAGGAATTTCCCTTTTGTGTTAGTACCCTAGAGTTACCATAACAAATTATTACAAACTTGGTGACTTAAAACAATAGAAATTTAATTTTTTAGTTATGGAGGATGAAATCACAGTGTAGCAGAGCCACACTTCCTCTGAAGGTTCTAGGGAAGAATCCTTCCTTGCCTTTTCCAGCTTCTGGTGACTCCAGACATTTTTGACTGTAGCAGCATGGATTAGTCTGTTCTCACTCTGCTGATAAAGACATACCTGAGACTGGGTAATTCATAAAGAAAAAGAGGTTTAATGGACTCACAGTTCCACGTGGCTGGTTGAGGCCTCACAATTATGGTGGAAGGCAAAAGTCGAGTCTTACATGGTGGCAGATGAGAGAAGTGAGAGCCAAGTGAAAGGGGTTTCCGTTATAAAAGGGTCAGATCTTGTGAGACTTATTCTCTACCATGAGAACAGTATGGGGGGAACTGCCCCCATGATTCAATTATCTCCCACTGGGGCCAACCCACAACATGTGGGAATTATGGGAGCTACAATTGAAGATGAGATTTGGGTGGGGACACAGCCAAACCATATCACAGCATAACTTCAGTCTCTTTACATGGCCTTTCCCTTTGTGTATTTATGGTTTACAAAGATACTGTCATTGGATTGAGGGCAATATGGTCTCATCTGAATTGTTACCTTAATTATATCAGCAAAGACCCTATTTTCAAATATGATCACATTCTTACATTCCAGGTGGACATGAATCATTCTGGGACACTATTCAACCTACTACACCTTCTATTCCTAATTTGCTGGGAGTTTTTAAGTAATCATAAATGGATGTTGAATATTTTAAAGTGTTCTTTTCATGTCTGTTGAGATAATATTATGACTTTTCTTTAGTTGATATTATGGTAAGTTACATTGATTTTTAAATGTTGAACCAGATTTGCATTCCTAGGATATATACCACTTGGTTATTTATATACTTTTTAATATATTGATGAATTTTATTTGTTAATATTTTGTGGAAGTTTTTTGCTTCTATCAGTGAGGGATTTTAACCTATAGTTTTATTTTTTGTGATGTCTTTGGCTTTGATATTAACTGTCCCCAGCTTAACAATTTTTTGACTTTACGATGATGCACAACCATTGCAAATTTGACGTAACGTATGGTATTCAATAAATTACATGAGATATTTAAGACTTTATCATAAAAGAAGCTTTGTGTTACATGATTTTGCCCAACTGTAGCTGATGTGTTAAGTGTTCTGAGCATGTTTAAGATAGGCTAAGCCATGATGTTTGGTAGGTTGGGTTTATTAAATCCATTTTTGACTTATATTTTCAACTTAGGATGGATTTATTGGGCTATAACTCCATCAAAAGTCAAACAGCATCTGGACTAGATTGATAACATGATTGGGAAGTATCCTCATTGTGTGAAATTGATACTGTTTCTTCTTTAACTACTTGATATAATTTGGCCTTCAGTTTTCTTTGTTGGAAGGTTTTTCACTACCTATTCAATTTCTTTAATAGATATTTAACTGCTTGTGTTACCTTTTTTTTTTTTTTCCAAGTGAGTTTTGATTTTGTCTTTCAAAGAATTTGAATTTATGGACATAGAATTGTTTATAGAATCCTTTTTACAGACCTTTGTGAGGTCTGCAGTGATGACTCCTCCAATTTTTTTTTCTGATTTTGGTAATTTGTGTCATTCTTGCTTTTTTTTCTTAATGAGACTGGCTAGTGGTTTTATTAGTTTTCCTTCCCAAAAAACCAGCTGTTGGTCTTACTGGTTTCTGCTTTAATCTTTATAATGCTTCCTATCTCCTGCTTGTTTTAGGTTGAATTTGTACTTATTTTTTCTAGATTCTTAAGTCGAAAGCTTAGATTACTGATTTGATATCTTTCCCTTTTTAATATAAGCATTTAATGGCATAAATTTCTCTCTAAAGTTAAAGATGCATCCACAGTTTAAGGCTTTTGTTCTTTAATGGGGATAGAGGAGAAAGGTTCTGGTGCTGGTTCATGCTCTCCACAGAAGCTACTGTTTCCCTCCCTCTGTACCATTAGGGAGACTTTCGTAGGACTCTTTCAGTATTTTCTATGAGTGCCTGGTGATTCTTGTTGATAAGATATGCAGAAAAGGTGTGGATTTCACCTACATTTGCAGCACCTCTCTCCCACCTCTCAACAGTATGTTCTTTCTCCACCAGTTTTGAAACCATGCTTGCTGACCTCTTCTTGCTAATGTTCTGCTGTGTTTTGTCCATGTAAGCCAATGCTAATGTCTTATCTCTCTGCAAATGCCTGTCTCATTAGTTTAGGGGGCAATTGGTTGCCCTCTGATCTCCGTATTCTGATGGAGTCAGAATACTTTATTTTGGTGTTGGAAGGTTGGAAGTGACATTCTTTCTAGCTCTCTACATTCCAAGCCTTAGCTTTATTTTAGAATTCCTTTGCTTTTAGTTATTTAATAGTATTTGTCTCCCAAGAGAAAGTTAATCACTTCTTGCTCTGATGTTGTACTTATATAACTTAGTACTTGTATAACTGTATTTATCACATTGTGCTGTAATTATTTGCCAACATATCTGTCTCCACTATTAGCACACTGCTTGAGGGAAATAGACAAGTATATGCAGAATGCAAGATCTGTGACCTCCATATATCTAGTGCTTCCTGATTGGTTGTAGGCACTTATTATGTGTTCATAGAATAGAATTACAGTAAGATTTTAATTCATAACACAGTCCTGGTACTTTGAGATTCTGAAGAAATATTTGTTAAATAATTCGTGAATAAAATGGCTTATTTAGAAAGTATTTAGAAATTGATTTAGCTTCTATTTCCTCAAATTTCCAGAAAGTTTTTTAAAAGCTCAGTTTAATTTAATCATCCATGTAATTAAAAGTCTTACTGTGATTCAGACAGAAGATTCAGTTGTGCGAATTAATCCTTAATTGCTCAAAAAATATTAATGGGGTTGAATTATTTTCTGCTCCCATTGACTTTGGAGTAATATTGTTTACCTGAAATCTTCAGAGTAGTGAGTAATAAATTACAACATTTAAAATATTTTTAAAAAGTAAAATTGGGCTAGCTTGTCATTGAAAGAGTAAAATGATATTCTCTTGTTAGTAGTTAGAAATAGGTTGGATTAAGAGTAAGTTTAGTTATTAGGTCCTTCTTTTAAGTGAACAAATTAAAGAGATTTTTTTCAATTTTAACTGCATCTTTTCCAGATCAAATTTTCTCCAGTGGCTAAAAAGTTGTTTGTGGTAACTGCAGTGAGTGCTATATCTGTAATTTTTCTGGCCCATCACTTTAAAAGAAAACGTGGAAAGAAGAAAGGAAAAATATTACCATGGGAACCAGAGCACCTTATACTTGAGTACACTAAAAGAGCAGCATCAGACAAAGGTATGTGGAAATAGTTGAATTAAGTGTACAAAAGGAATTTTATGTGTAAATCATAACTGCAATACAGTGACTTTGGTCTTTAAGTCTCCAGAATTTTCTTCCTAATATATTATTTAACTCAAAAGTAATACAGATTTATTTTAGAAAGATTAGAAAATGTAGATAAGCAAACAGAAAAAAATTAAAATTACTAACAAACATTCTGGTACCCAGAAATAACTACTGATAATACTTTCACGTATATCAGTCCACTTATATTTGCATTTAAATGTCATATTGAGACATAAAATGTTATATACAAGTAAATTATTTATGTATTTTAAGTAAAATTGTGATCAGACATTTTGTAACCTGCTTTTAAGATATTTGACAGTGTGTAAGAATGTCTTTCCAGATCAATAAATATCCCTCTGTGCTATCATTTTTAATATATAACTAGTGTTAATTTGTACGAATGTACCCCAATTTCATCATTTCCCCATTGTTCCCTTTAGGATGTTTGTGTTTTTCTTATTTTGCATATCGTTGTCTATTTCCTTAGCGTGTAGAATTCAAGAAGTAAATTGCTGTCTTTTAAAGGATCTTTAAGTTTTGTTAAAGATATCGTATGAGGCCGGGCGCGGTGGCTCATGCCTGTAATCCCAGGACTCTGGGAGGCTGAGGCGGGTGGATCATGAGGTCAGGAGATCGAGACCATCCTGGCTAACACAGTGAAACCCCGTCTCTGCTAGAAAATACAAAAAATTAGCCAGGCGTAGTGGCAGGTGCCTGTGGTCCCAGCTACTGGGGAGGCTGGGGCAGGAGAATGGCGTGAACCAGGGAGG